GGAGTTTTCGGCGAAGCCTGCAAATTGTCGTAAACTGCCGCTAACCTGAAGTTCCATGACAATTTACAGTGCCGCATATTGACGAAAATCCCACTTTTCATGCAGTGACTCCTCCAAGTTGGTTCTCGACTGGAAAAGGTAGCTTGGCCCCTTTAGTTTGGGTTGGAGAGTTCCTGCCTCAAGTGGAGGAGTTCAAGTATCTTAGGGTCCTGTACTAGAGTGGGGGAAGGATAGAGCGGAGATCGGTAGACATATTGTTGAGTTTGCTGCAATAATGCAGACACGGCACTAGTCTATCATTGTGAAGAGAGAGCTGAGAGAAAAGGCAAAGTTTTTTAACAGGTCGCGTCAACTCCGGCTGTCACTACCCCTCACTGAGTCTAAGCTCTGTTGCCTAGCCACTGTGACAGTTGAATCACAAAGTATGGATGATGAACTACTTACTACTATTATGTGTGATAATTTCATTTTTCATCAATTTTCATCACCTTTTCCTTTAGACTACTGACCAGCCGGCTTGCCTGGACTAGCAATGAATCATGGAATGCCCTAGGCCACTAGGGATACAGTGGTCCTGTCTTTCCAAACGGTGAAAAAGAAGGCTGCATTATCAGCTGTATCAGGACGAGTCTTCCAATCAAAACAATTCAGTTCAATTCAATTCAGTTTATTTCTATAGCGCCAATTCACAACACATGTCATCTCAAGGCACTTTACAGTTCACCAGATCATCCAGTCAAATTGATTCAAAGTTTTCTATTTAAGGAAAACCAGTTGATTGCATCGACTCATTGACTCAAAGGCAATCCCTCACACCAAGCATGCTTGTAGCGACAGTGGAGAGGAAAAAAAATCCTTTTTAACCAGGCTCAGTATGAGCTGCCATTTGTCGAGGCTGACTGGGGTTCAAGGAGACAACAGCAGGCATACAAAAGGCAACTGTAAAAGGCGACCCCATCCAGGAAACACACAGCCAGGCTGACGGCCTCAAACAGGCTATGGCCCCATGCTATGACGTAATCGGCCGACAAATCTGGCTTTTGGAGGACGCAGCATCTGGATTCAAACACAGGCTTGATTTCTCGGCTTTATTTGATCAACTAGATTTGGATCCTTCTTTCTTCATATTTTAACATGCTAGAGCTCAATTTAAAAACCATGAAGTTCCTTTTACAGTCTAATAGTTTAAGTGGACATTTGTGATTTAAAAAAAGCTTATGCTTATGAGTGCTTATGGGACCTCTTTGTGAAAGACTTGTCTTAAAACATTTCAATGAATTAAACTATGTAAAGAAAAAGGAAATTCACATCTGAACCTTTATTCAGTTATACTGATTTATGTCCTTACTTGACCTATATATGTTGCAATAAATACAATATTTCATTTTCGATAATCAATGAAGGTTGATTAAAAACAAATGTTTTTGACTTAAAAGCTGTATCTTTTGGATGGGTCAGATAAATATCACTTCAGTCTATGGATTTTAAGAAGAAAAATAGGTTGTCCAACAAGCTGAGCTGTTCAATGAGCAGGGTATTTGAGGTATATCATCTATTTTTAATGTGTGATCATCTAGACTCATGATGTTCCTCATTTATTCATAGCTGTTGCACTGAATGTTTGGGTCTAGATGGGGATGAGAAGCAGAGCTGGAGTAGAAGTAATAAAATAGATGTTAATTTCATTGCTGCTTTCATCTATAGGTCAGGCTATCTACTGATGAAAAGCAGACATGTGGCTGGAGGTTTTGCTCCAACATGGTTATACAAACCTTATAAGCTGAACAACACTCTGTGTGCACAGAAAGGCGGAGGCGTTAAACTCTCAATATCTCTCCATCCATCCATTGTTGACACTGATCATTGCAGGGTCACAGGGGCGCTGGTGCCTTTAATCAGCAGCCACTGAGCACTAATCGCTGAATCTCAGGGAAAAACAGGAAATAACCAAACCAACTCATACTCAAGGGTCTGAAATTTCAATTTCATTCCTTAGAATTTGGATCTGATGTTACCCCTGGCAACCCAAATTTCCCGTCATAATCTCAGTTCAAAATAAAACATGGGTAAAAGGTGGGAGTACAATATTTTTGTGATTAAAGGGAACTCCCCTCGAAAGGTCACTGTGGACTTCAGCAGCTTTATGACGAACATGTCAAAGTGAAAGCTCTGACTTCTCTAAGACATGGTGTAAAACACTTTGCAGACATGTGACTGCGAACATCTGAATTTTTGTACCTCGGCTTTTAACAGAAACGCAAATCATTACTTCAAGATAAGAAGAAAAAGAGCAACAGAAAACTAAGAGGCTAATTATAAGTTAGGTATTTTTATAGTTATTCTAATCACTATGTACAGTAGAATTAGTTTCACATTGCCATATTTATACCACTATGAGTTACTTAATACCAAAAAACACATTAATGATAATTACTAAATAGCTTAATCGATTTCTATTTTAAAAATATCACCTATAATAGCCCTATGACAAGGAAAGTTAACAATCCAGAAATTAATCTCACTTAGTTTAATCTTATTAAAATCACACTTTCTTTTTCAGTAAAGAATTAACTGAAAGAGAGAACCCCTCACTTTGTCAAGCTAACCTATGGTGTTCCTCAAGGCTAAATTCTGAGCCCACTCGCATTCGCTATGTATGTATTAACCAAGTTTTTCCCCCAAGTATAAAGTCTCTCTATAATGTCTATTTATTAATTTGCACATGATTCTTAAATAAACCCATCTAAGCATTCTACATGTCTTTGATGTTAGAGTCGGCATGGCTGATAGACCTTTAACATTAGACAATGACAAACTTGCATCAAGAGCTCTGAATCTTAAGTCAAACAACATTTGGTGTTGAAGGTTTTAAGACTGTATTTGTTCCAAAAGTTCTTTAAAAGCTTTGGAAAAAGAGGGTAAATAATTGAGATTGAATTTTGGATTTTCTCTCTGTCTCCTGTTGTATGTAGAGACCAGAGGTCACGGATTAGCGGACCAGGGTCCAGATCCAGACCCAACTCGATTTAAAACATTTATAAATCACCGCATTTTGTCCGCCGACAGTGTCTAAATGTCACCTGCGGCGCTTCTCCTGTTATTATGGTAAAGCCATTTGGAGCGTCCGGCACCAGGCTACATGTGATCCAAATGATCCAATGAGCTGCTGTCAGTCTGGGTCGCTGCTGCTGCTACTTTTAGACACAGCAGGCAAACCTGTAGCAAGCCGGGCGATAGGAAAGAAGGAGAAGATGATGAGAAAAAGAGAGCAGAGAAAGTGTGGACTGCTGGAAGAACTGCAGTGAACTGGTGAAAGAAAAGTGAAATGGCACTCAAATATGACCCTGCACATTTAGAGGATGTTTGGCTCAACCTGCTGCTGTAAAGCAAGATTCTCCACCATGAACATAATCACCAATAAATATAGATCCAGGCTCAAAATGAGCTCCTTGATATGTGCTTTAGAATGGCTTTGTCTCCATTCAAACCAGGTTTAAAGCCTTGCAGGGCAGCATAAAGCCCACTGCCAACATTAAGACAGAAAAAAGAAAGAAAGAAAGAAACCCTGTCAATTCAAGTGTTTTGTAAAATATGTGAATCAGGAAATTGTCTATATACCAAATGAACAATTGTTGTTGCCTACTTCAAAAACAATTTAGATTTTAAAATGGAAAAACTTTCAATTTTTTTATATTTTTTATTTGGATATATAAACACCTGCATTTTATTATTTTTACTGTTTAAAGTAACAAATTATAATAAAAAAAGTATCTGGTCCTTTACTGGTTGTTCATATTCTTTATTCGGCTGATTTTTTATTGGTTACCCCTGGTATACAGGCTACAGCTGATCACCTGTTGCCTTCATTTAGTGAATTTTGAATTGATACACTAAATTCCTCAAATGTAAAAGAAGAAAAAGACAATTCTCAACCATCCTGTGAGATTTCATGTTATGAGGAATGCTCATACTTTAGTAAGTAGGTGTGTGCTTATTGGCTGCAGCTCTATCCCAAACACCCACCTCATCACTGTTTAAACTCTCAGCAGGCTTTTTTGAACATCAGTACCAAACAGAATTCTTACGTTGTTCTTTCACTCTGCTTCTCCTCAAAGATAAAAGGAAGAAAAAAATGGGGAAAATAAATGGATGCCTCAAGTGCGTTTTTATCTTCTTCAATGTGCTGTTTGCAGTAAGTAGAAATGCTTTTTCCAACCTTTGAGTTTTTTTATTTTTTTTTAATCAATTGTGAATTTAAATGAATTCTAAGCACCTTTAGTCTCTTTTAAATACATGTTTCTTTTTTTAATGAAAGATGGATGGATTTTCAAAACAAGCAAAAACTTAAAATGTATGGTTTTAACTTTAATGGATAAATGTTACCTTGTGTACACCTTGTTGTGTAAAGTCGGCATTCTGCATCGGAAAAATAGAAAAACATTTCCTTTAAAGGGAGTTGAAAATGTTCCAGTCATCATATCTATTATTTTTTCAAATACTAAAACTAATTTCCTTTAATTATTTTCTGGTTAAAACTACGTTGATATTACAGGATGAGAACGTCAGTAAAAATTGAACATTACAGTTTGGTTCAAACCATTTTTATTTTTTATTTTTTCTCAGAAGACTGATTTCCAGTAAACCTGTGGGGTGGGAGGGTTTTCTAATATAATGCCCACGGCCCCTCCTATATTTCCTGCTTTTACTTTAGGACATCATGTTCTTTTATTTGCTGCTCACATGCCAGCAGAAAGTCTGAGAAATATTTAAAGTGGGTTTATTGGTACAAGTATATAACATAAGGCTTAAAGAGTTATTCCTTATTAAAATATAGATATTTATTTTCACATTTATAGCCAGGAAAGGAAAATCATAAAATTCTTTCTAATTGTGAAAACAGCTCTGACTTATACTTTATGATTTTATCATCCAGATTCTTAATAAAGCAAATTTCTTCTATTTTTTGTGCGTTTCTGGATGTTTCTGCTGCGACAGTAGTGTTACTCAGTCCTGTTTTAGCTCTCTGCCTCCCTCTAGTGTCCTCCAGATAAAATCACACCTTTAACTGCCCTTGAAGTCGCAGGGGAGTCATATTTAAATGTCGAATCTGGCTTAAACATGTATATGAATGTACTCTTTATCACACAATATTGTCCCAAATGTTAGCAAATTGTCTAAAAATCTGTGATTTGTTTCCCCGTTTTCTTATGCAGGCCAGTTAGTTATATGTCAGCCTGAACACCTAAGTTCCACCAATCATATGTCAACGGTCATCTGTCAATCAAATGTTTTTGGTCATAGCATCTTGATTCATATGTCAGAGCTAATATACACAACGGTTGAAATAAGAAATAAGAATCATTTACTTTACTATTGAGTTCCGTCCCAGTGTTCACGGGGATGGACGTCTGTGTCTCTTCGGCAGGTGTAGAGCTAACAGAACTGCCAGCGTTGCGAGGCAAGGGCTCAAGCATGTCGCCCTGCCATCCTCTTCCACAACATCTTCGTCCCCGGTTTCCTCCTCTAAGTCAAAAATATATGACGGAGGAGACTCATCCATGACCTCCGACACTAAACTCTCCTCCTCTTGCATGTTTCCTCTGTCCATAGCGTTCCTTGACAGTGTCGTTTCTAAGTCACCAATTTAGTGCTACTTGGTCCCAATGGAATTTCCTGTTGGGAAACTACTAGCACTAAGTTGCTAACTGGTTAAAAAGATGCTTCCAAGACACCGGCTACAATCAAACTTGCTTGCGAACCTTCCGCCACAACAATCCCGCCCCCTTGATAAACGACCAATCACATTCACTTTATTCACTCATGTAAAGTTGTGCACCACTTGGGAAAATTCGGAAATGGAACGGCCGTTTCCCTACGACTTTAAAATCCCCTTCAGAAATCCATAATTTTTGTCACAATTGTTTTTAAACAACTTGTTCATCAAATAACAGGGTTACGCTCCATATTCATCAAGAACAATTCCTTTTTTATTCTATGTTTCATGTATGTTTAATTTTTTTCCCTCACTTTTCACAGATCCTGGGATGCGTGATGATATATGTTGCAGTGAGAGTCACTGTCAATGAAATGGTAAAATATTTAGATTATTTTTACAGTCATCAAATATCTAAATTATTGCTTCTACTATGAAATCACTAAGTAAAGGAACAATCATCCTCCTAACTGGAGCTGGATCTTCTAATGGCTTCCTGCTCTTTACGCAATTCTTCGATATTAAGCACCAGTAATGATCTGAGAGAAAGAACTGCTGGTGCCACAACCAGATCAATTCAAATTATGCAGATGATGAAAATGTTGAGTTGTTCTTAGTGTCACAACAGAATCTTCACTTGAAAACTGTTTTGGTGTTTTTAAAACGTTACATAGATGTTTGAACACTGATGACATAAACTAGACTTAAAGATACTGGATAAAAGTCTCCTCCTGTGTTTCTTTGGGAGATCTTTTTATTCATCTCAATCAGAAAATAATTTCCAACTAATTCAAAATATTTCCTTCTATAAAGGCCAATTATTCACAGAGAACATTTTTAAGAAGTTGACATCCCATTATTTTCAGAGCAGTCATCCAAAACCTGAGAGTTATATCTCAACCTCTCCAGGCCACAGTTAGCAAGGTAGATGTCAAAGTTCATGACCTGGCAGTTGGTATAAGACCAAACAGGTATGTCTCATTCATAACACCGAAGAAGAAAGCATCTCCTCTCTTGATAGTTAGGACTGCAATCTGCTTCAGATTGGACTTCAGTAAAGGACCTTGTAAAAAATGAGAACAAAATGGAAAAATCTGGGCTGTATGGCAGAGTTACTTGTATTGATTACACTGCTGTCAGTCCAAAAAGCAGCAGGCAGACCCCGGTTTTAAAGGCAGACCCAAGGCAGGACTAACTGTGTCAACAGAAACAAGTTAGAACCAATCAGATAACCACGGATATGAAGCATTTTTTGCGAATTTCCTACAGCAGGCAGTTGTATATGATAGTATTTTTAATTTGTGCATTCTATAAATCAAATCAGATCGTGCAGTACATAATAATGGGCATCATCAAATCATAACTTTGCCACACTGTTACCATTATGGTTACAGATAACCACTGTTGCATTATAGATAATTCTGCTCAGGCTGGATGACCCGGCTTGAGATATTTGACCGCAACATACATCTTAACGTTTGAAAAACAAAAACACAGCATATCAGAAGGACCTAAAACATGGTGTGTGAGGGATGATAACATCTTTTTCTGGCAGCTGCACTAATGAAGCTAACTTTCTGTAATGTAGTCAACTTCAAACTCCATGGTGCACCTAAATATTCTGGAGTCAAATGGGAGGGTGTCGCTGAACTTGTAACCAAGCTGCGTCATCAATAAACAATTTCAAAAGAATAATTTTTTATGTATTCCACACAAACACTACAATATAGACACGGTATGACTTGTGGTTGGTCTAAACAATTGTTTATGTCGAATCAGATATCATCATTTGGAGGCCCAGGATCAGGCTGGATCTGGGTGATTGCCATCAGCATCTTCGGTGTCTCCTTTCTGGGAATCTTTGCTGCCTGCAGTGAGAGGGTTCTTTTCCTCAAATTAGTACGTAGATGAGTCCAACAGCTCCACAGATAGGAAATCCTGACCAAAACACGACCTGAACGTGTTTCTTTTGCAGTTTGCAGGTTTCATGGTGGTGGGAATGATCATCATGCTAATCTTCGGAACAGTTGTGGCCGTTTTCCGAAACCAGGTAATCTGAAATAAATGGCTGGTGGTGCAGTAAAAAGTGCAGTCTGGTATAGTTCTTCTTCTTGTTATTTCATTGTTGTTTTACCTTTTAGTTAAAAAGCGCCTTTTCTAGTAAATCCAAAGAAATTATCAGCCAGATCATGGACAATGAAAAATCTCGCCAGATTCTCCTTTCCTTGCAAGAACAAGTAAGACTTTTATTTTTTTTAGGGACACCTTTACAGAATGCATTTACTTTATGGCACATCACATGATTAGGTTTTGTACGGAAGTCTTCTGAAAACCATCTTTGATTTCAGGCTAAGTGCTGTGGAGTTGGTAGTGCTGCAGACTGGGGCACAGAAATACCTTCCAGCTGTGAATGCAAGGAGGGTATTGGACTCGATGGAAAGGCTCAATGTGGACCCAAACCCGCGGTAGGTTTGACAGAACAAATCTGAACCATGTCAACAAACAGACACAACTGATGTCCGAATACTCAAAGGATGTCCAGTTCTGGACAGATGTTTCAGTCCACTCAAATTCTGAGGTTTTGGAAATGAATTTGAATGATGCCTTCAAGTGTGTAAATGTCTTGTTACAAATGCATGACTGATTATAAAATTTCAGAGGAAAAGATGATTAAATGCAATCAGAGGACTACCATGGAATATGTCTAAATTTTCCAGAAAGTTTTTTTACAGTTACAAAAATAAAAAAAATTGTTATGACGCTGAAGTAAAAATCTGGAAGACTCTTAACATCTTCACATGAAGCACCTGCAATGTCCCTTTGTTAAGCTCCAGACAATCAAGTTTGGGCCGCTTTTTTCCCAAAGCCAATCCTCTTTCAATATCCCCTTCATTCCCCTTCAAGCTCATGGCCTTGCTTCTCTCTCTTGTTCGCAAATGAGCTTTCACCCACCTCCCCCCCGTCTCCTCCCTCATTCTCAGATTATTCTTAGTCCCATTCACTCTCTGGCTTATTCCACCACCAGTATCTTCAGCCAGTGGAGACGACTAGTCTAATGCTTTTCTATGTTGCTCTTCCAAGAGTATGTTGATTCACAGAATCAAAGTCCTCTGCTGGGGCCTGAGCACTAAATAACTTTCATTTATGTCTTCATCTTCTTCAGTCTCCTTTAACCCCAGTCGGCCTCATCAGATGGCCGCTCACACTGGTGGAGGTTCTGCTGGAGGTTCCTTCCTGTTAAAAGGGAGTTTTCCTCTCCACTGTCGCTAAATGCATCCTCAGTGCGAGGGATTGCAGAGAGTCAATAAGTCAATGCAATCAATTGGTTTTTCTTAGAGATATTTTGAAGAATATGATTGTGTTACCTGGATAAATAAATCAAATACTTTTCTAATTGCAGCTGTTCTCTGTGAGTCTCTCAGGGTTGAAATAGGTTTACAAGAAACATTTTTTCCTGAATAAAATCATGCATCTCTGAAATTAAATCCTATGATAATTTTTTTTAAATAAAAGCTACATTTTTAAAATATTATTAGTCAGACATTTAGGACAGAAAACCAAAAGGCCTTCAAGATTGATATGTCGCATTTATTCAATGCAACCCTTGATATTTTCATGGTGTAAGCAGAACATCTGCGCTTGTTTTAATGGATCAGAACCAACTGCTTCTCCCAGATGCAGAGACATGCCATGATCGCCTTGAATGGAATCAACAATACTTGTCTGAGAATGCGAGGAAGAAGCAACAACAACATCACCTCCTAAAAAAATTCAAACTAGCACTTCCCATCTTTTCCTTTTTAAATTCCAGTAGTGGTTAGTTCTAAGACTGCATCCTGGTGAAACAGATCATACAATCATTGAAGGACCTAAATGACCTGCCTGAGCGGTAGAGGGAAAATTCAACTGTCTGCCAGATTTTATGGGCAAACCTCTAAGTTCATCTGTATTTGTATTTATTTTTTGGTAACTTTCCTATTTTCACAAACATCAGTTTTATCTGAAAGTCTAAAATTTCACTGATAGAAAGTAATTTTTTTACAGGGATCCACGGGACCGGATAGGATCTATTCCCAGGTATTAATTCACATTTGTTCAGTGCAAACACCATTCACTTCATATTCTGGTCCTAAATAATAACTTGTTTCATTTTCCCACCTTCACCTCTGCAGTCCTGTGACTATATCATCTTTAATATAACTGACCTCCCTTTGCGCGTCTGTATTGGCTTCCTTTTTGGATTCGCCGTCACTGCAGTAAGTCCCACAGATACAAAAAAACAAAATAAAACAAACCCAGGCTTTTGCATTTTAGGTTGCAAGAAACTCTTTTCCACTAAGAGTTTGAAGCATTTAATAAATCATAAAATAATTTTGTCAAAATAACAGATTCATTTCTTAATGTAAGAAATATCCTAGACATGATTTTCTACATTTAGAAACAAACATAATGGTTTTGAATGGTTATGTTTTTAGCGACCATCTATCTTAAAATGGGAAGCAACAAGTCCAGCCTATGAAGGTCCATAGAATGTCGGGTCTGCTTTCACAGTTTATGGCTTTTCATAATTTAATGCCTGATAAGTCTCTGTTTGAATTAAAGTTTAAGGAAAAAAGGCAAAAACATCATAAGAGTGCCGACATAGCGACAAAAGATCCTTATTTTTGACAGAGAAACCACGAATCGATGTTTGCAAAGCATCCAGGAAATATAAACATGAAACCTGAATATGAGATCTTTTAGATTTGTGGGTTATAACAGAAACCTGCATCGTATTAAAAATCATCTGTTTCCTTCACTGACCGCCTGTTTGTCTCCTTACAGTTGATGGGCCTGCTTATCTCCCTCTTCATGATCCGTCAGGTCACTCATCACAGCAGCATGGGGACTTTCTAAACATCCTCTTTTGAATTTCACCCTCTGTAATATAACCAGTGGTCTATGTTTTTCATCTAAAATAAAAAAAAAATATATATATACTTGTTGATGTTG